TTCAATTAAAGGCGGGGGGGGGTTGGGGGGGGGGCGGCAGCCCCCCCATGATGATCGAAAAAGTGATGATTCAATCAGGGGCAAAAAGTCTAAAAAATAGCGGGGGGGTTGGGGGCGGCGGCAGTCCCCCCCATGATGATCGAAAAATTAGGGGCAAAGAATCTAAAGTAGCGGTCGCATGATGATCGAAAAAAGTGATGATTCAATAGGGGCAAAAAGTCCAACAAATAGCAGGGGGGTTGGGGGGGGGCGGCAGCCCCCCCCCATGATGATCAAAAAAGTGATGATTCAATCAGGGGCAAAAAGTCTAAAAAATTGCGGGGGGGTTGGGGGGGGGGGCAGCCCCCCCATGATGATTGAAAAAGTGATGATTCAATTAGGGCCAAACAAATATTTATAAAACAAACAAAAAAAACAGCAGGGGGGTCATCAGTTCCTCTGCGGCAAGGCCTCATGGTACAAGTGAGGATTCAAATACGGGCAAACTAATCCCTGTAAAACGGCACCCCCCGATCGAAAAAATAGGGGCAAAGAATCTAAAAAGTAGCTGTCGCATGATGATCGAAAAAGTGATGATTCAAATAGGCGTGCATGTTAATCGAAAGGGGGGTGGCGGGGGGCCCAGAGAGGAACTTGCGATGCTGAGGATGCAGGAAGCCAACTGGAAAAGCATCAGGATGCGAAAAGCCAAAGCCGGAAAGCCGCCAAAAGCCAAAAAGCCAAAAAGCCAAAAAGCCAAAAAGCCAAAAAGCCAAAAAGCCAAAAAGCCAAAAAGCCAAAAAGCCAAAAAGCCAAAGAGAGGAACTGTGAATGCAGATGATGCGAAATGAAAAGCCACGAAAGCCACAAAAACCCACGTAAAAGCCACAAAAGCCAAAAAGCCGAAAAGCCACCGACCCTGAAAAACAAAAATAATTCCTAAAAAAAACGAAAAAAAAAATCCTAAAAAAAATGGCCCTCCAATGGCTTTCCCAAAAAGTCAGGTTTGGGTAAACCTCTCAGAAATGTTGCTTCATGCTGAGAAGAAACCTGCTTGAGCCATGCTTTCTATACACCCTATCAGATCCAGCGAAATGGTCGCGAATGTGTTGCTGGCCAGTGGTCTGGGCGGACTGCCGTTGATCTTGGACAAGCTAGTAGGATATGGAAAAACAACTCTGTTGAAATGGGGAGAGCTCCAAATCTGCAGGGCCTTGAGGTCTGTGGATGTGCCTCCTTCCACTTCAGACCATGGCTTGGCGCGTTTCCATTACTGACCCCGAGCAACGGGCACATCAAGGCTGCCTCGGTTTTGCTCAAGGGAACAACTTAGCGGCGTGGTACGGTTGGAAGGCGCTCCCGAGCAAGTGGTTTTGGTAGACTTGGTAGACTGATGGCCGCTGGTCAAAGGAGACCCCAACACTTCTAGAGGGGCCTAGACCGAACGGGAGAGGTTCCAGTCACTGCACTGACCACATGTTCGCCAGCCCACTCATGAGCATGCCCCCCCCAAAAAAAACCAAAAGAAGCTGGAAGGTGTGTCCCCCCCAAAGAAAAAACTGGGGGAAATTCACCTTCCTCCTCAAAAGAATGACTTGCAATGCCCTGGGCCCGTTTTTGTTGCGTCCTCCGCCAAGTGGCTGCATTGTTTCGGACGGCTCGGAACCGGAGCCTGGCCGCCGGCCCCGAGTGATGTGGGCCCCAGTCGAAGTGGAGCAGTCCGAGCGATGGAGAGGGCTGCAGTTTTGGGGGTTTCTGGGAGAGTGGGGTGTGCAGTGGAGGTGGGCGCCATTGTTCAGTGGGGTGGATGTGCACAGCGGGGATTCACCCCAGGTCCCAAACCCAAAGGATCTCCCTTTGGAAGCGATCCACCCTCCCCCAAAGGAGGTGGTGGTGGTGGCGGCGGCGGCGGTGGTGGGGGTTCTGGAAAAAACAAAGAATCAACCATCCCCTGAGTCTACCTTGAGATCTAAAAATGGATCCCTGGGGCAGACCCCGATTATCACAGTACCGGAGGCGTCCAGTGTGGTTGCTCTGACACCTTTCCGGGCCAAACAAAATTGGCTGCTTGAACCAACCAGCCGTGTCACCAACCAAACCAGACCAATTGAAATTGAGCAGTCCGAATCTCCGAAAGCAGCTGTTTCAGAGCTTGCCCCAATCAGCTGAGCCATGTACTGCTTCCAATGCCACAAGCTGAGTGCCCAGGCAGCTTGGCAAACAAAATCTGACCATGCCCCGCCTTCGCTCCCCGAGCCACGCAATCGCGCGATTTCGCGAAATCGCGCGGCGGCTTGAGCTGAGGATGCGAAAACCAACGCCGCTCGAAACTCGGGCGTCGAAATTCGCCGAGTGGCCTGCTTCCGAGCGGGGAATCCATTTGTTTTAGAAGGACGGCCGCAAGATTTATTCTAGAGTTGGACATTGCTGCTGCTACCCGATGTACTTAATTCAGACCACCCTGGAATGGGCCTTGACTGATCGGAGATTATGTCAGCGGTTTCTTGGAAACGGCTTCCTGCCTTCCGGCTAGCCACATCCCAATGTCATGTTGAACGCCCGCTGGATAAAGAGCAGATTAACATCTTAAAAACAAAAGAAAAGCCGTTTTAACCGAGCCTGGTTCGAAACAAAAGAAACAAAGCGACACGATCCCAGGTCTGCCAAGGCTAGCTCCACCAAAAGGTGCTTGCCATGTGAGCCTCAAAGCCCAACTGCACAGGCGCTCGGCCAAACCCGCGATTCGAAGTTGATCGGCCTGCATGGAAAGCAGTGGGAAATGGAATCCACTTCCGTAATACAACAGCAAGGGCTTCCCAAAGACTAACCCCATAAGGGGGAGATTCCAACTTGTATCACAGGAGTGGTTGGATGAACCCCTACATCCCACAACCCAACTGCCCCTTCCCAAGGCCGCGAGCACTGCCAAACTCGGGGCCGGGCGCATCAATATGGGCTGCCCTTCCGCCCCTGGCCAAGATGTTGGTGGTGCAACTGCTGCACTAGACGGGATCTACCAGGAATCTACCATCAGAAAATGCCGCAGGCAACTTTGTTACTTAATGGGATTTAACTGCGCGTGGGCCAGACAATGCCAATCTGATATTCTTTTCGGGCAGCTCGGTGCCCGAGCCACGCACACCGTTGCATGCAACATATGTATTATATATATATATATGAGAGAGAGAAGCTGGCCAAGCTGCAAAAAAACCACATGCCCCCGGTCGGCTCAATACCCACATAAGGCTCCTGCACGCAATTCCAAGCCACAAGGTTGGGCCTTCCAAACCCTGGAGCCTTCAGACTGTTGGTTGCTGCAACGACCCCTGCCAAAAGCGGACAACTTTTTGGGGGTTTTAGTGGAAACCGCCAAAAGTTTTCCAAAAAGTTAAAGTCGAAAGATCCAACCCAATAGCAGTCGAGGGGATTGGACCCCGAATTGAAGCTGCGAAATGGGAACGGGCTGCGGAACCTGACCCGGACCCAGGACTTGGACTTCGGCGGTTTGGGAACTTGAGGCTCGCTCGAACCAACCAGCGCCACCTACACCTCGTGTGCCCCAACTGCTAGAACATCTCTCAGCCCAACAGGCCGCTTGGCTTTCCCCCCATATGAACCGCTGCGATGGCCTCACCAAGCCTGTTTCTTATCATCTGTTTTATCCTTTTCTTTATAACAAAAAGACCAGTCGTTGGATCGCATACGGCAACCATCATCTCACCATCAACTGTCAGAGAACCAAAAGGCATCCAGCGCAGCCACGGACCTTTTTCTTTCAGGCGCAGGGAATCCTTCCCGAGGTTTCTGTGTCGGTGGCACGGGTTGCATTTAGCTGGAATCGTGCAGTCGTGCCCTCACCTTCAAAATTCAAAAGAAACAACACCGGAAAACATGGGCAAATCACAAGTCTGGCATGGGTCTGGAATTCAATGGTGTTCTGTGGATTGAAAAGTGCAATAGAGCAAGCCAACTAGGTGTCGGCAACCACAAGCAAAAGCAAAGGGTGGCCGAGCGAAGCCTGCACGACTGCAAATCGCCCAAATTTCGCAGCCAGCTGCTTCGGCTGCGGAGGCTGCACTTGATGAGACCTCACTTCCGGTTCCCAAGTCTGTTTCATCCGGGTGGCGACGTGCCAAAAGTCTCGGCCCCATCTCTGGCGAGTGACTGCATTTCAGTTGGGCCTTCGCCACCCCCGGGGCCAAATCGGCCAAATCGCCAAATCGGCCAATCGGCCAAACCTCCGAGTCTGAGACACGCTCGGGGGAAGCTGCATGGCCCTCGAGCAGCTGCCAAGGGCGGGCGGGCTGGCTCGCAACCCGACGCGGCGATTGCCGGTGACTCCCCCTGCGGCACCTCCCAACAAAATGATGCCAGGATCATAACTCGGTCGATGTTGGAAGGGGAGCAAAAAATCGAAAGTCTTAGCAGTTAAGTGGATTTGGATTTCAACCACTACACAACAATAAACAAAAATGTGACATGTTTTTCTCAAATGATACGAATCTTGTTTGGGCTATCTTGGGGGTGCGATTTTTGCCTGCCGGCTCGAGCATTTCGGACTTCAGTTGGTTGGCCAAGAATCTTTGGCTCCTCTCTCTGAGGATCTCTTTTTGTTTGGTCTGCTCGCGCGTCCCGCAGAGGTGGGAACTTCCCGGCCCGAGAGGTGGCAGCGTTCCTATCATTTCGGCTAGGGGCGCAGCATGCAGCAAGAGGAAGCACAACACTTGCGACGCACTTTCTGCCGTTCAAAACAGCCAATGCCAGGCAGTCAAAACTTTTCTACCATCCAAAAGGTTGCCAAAATCACGCGCCCCGTCGCTGCCTTCTCAACTCGAGGTTTGATCCATGGTCTTTGCTAATGCCTTGCTTGCCGGGCTCGCGTCCCAGCGTGCAAGACGTGGGACAGTGCGTCAAGGGCTGGCACGGCTGAAGATCCATTCAAACAGCTGTTCATCCTGGATGTCAAATCACCCAAACATTCTTTGGCAATGGTCAATTGGCCATGATTGCGGATGACAACCGCGCACTTCAAGACGTGGCCGAGCCCTGCGAGCTCAAGCGACTCAAGCATCTTTGTCTTTATGAATGTTGGGCTTGGCTGTGCTTCTGCCGATGAATTTCAAGATCTCATCAATGAGGATGACCTGGGCTGCCAAAGTCGGTGCTGGCAACAACTGATGCCACGCTCAACCAATTGCAAGCAGGCATAACTATGAATCCCCAGCAAACTGGCCATGGGTCGAAAGGCTGTACCCCCCAGTGAACATCCCAATCCACACTAAACTAGGTTCTAAAAAAGGTGGTGAACTCACCTACCCCACTATGGTACCATTGGTTTTGACCCACAGCCAACTGCCCATGGAGCAAAGCAATGGCCAACAAAGCGGCAAAATATTCCTTCTTCCCCCTCAAATCTGAAGCATCTGAGACCCCCAGGGAAGCTCAAGACCCACGTACCCTAACTTGCCTCAAACACCAATAAGCCCTCAGCACAACTTTCGGACAACCCTGCTGACTAGCAAAGTTTCGCGTTAACAGCCGTGCATCTCTCAGCGGATTGCAACTTCCCAGTGATCCTAATCAGTCATGACGATACTCTAGCAAAAGCACACAGAATGGCAAGTCACACCAAATGCGTACATGCATAACGCACATCGCACACTGGCTGTTACACCCCAGACTTAGACCCCCAAACAAAAACTGACATGTTGCTGGTTGAACTGTAAAATCATGGAGCCAAAAAGGCAAACAGTAAAACCAGGCGAGCTGCGTTGATGACGCCCTGTTCAAAGTTGAGCGCATTTGTTTCTTGGGGCCTTCCGGGGTGGCAACCGGTCTGGCACGTGACCGATTGCTCATTCGTTCATTTGGTGGGGGGTCAGGCCCTGGGGCTGAAAGAGGTGCCTAAGAAATGAAACTGGGCCGTGAAGTGATTCTGGCGGGGGGTATGGTGTCGACAGCCCGTACTCAGTCAGTTTGACGAAACAAATATCCGCGCGCCTGCATTCACAGCAAGCAAACAAAGTGAGTTGTGGCAGAGGAAGAGTATGCTCGGCCTAATGCCATGCTTGCATGATGGATGCAGGATGGATGGCTGCGTGGGTTGGAAGGGATGGGAGAAAAGGGAAGGAGAAGGGAAGGGGATGGCAGGGGAGGGGTTGTATGGGATAGATGGGTGGGATGGATTGCAGCGTTGGCTGTGCTAGCTTGTCTGCCAAAATAGCTGAACAACATGCGCTCAGCAGCCGGTATCAGGCAACCAGGTTTAACTTGATCAAAGTGCGGCCCAACTTGGAGGTGCCCAAGATCCAGTTAACTGACACTTATATGAACTGTCACTTCCTAATCCTGATCCAGTTGACTCATCAGAGCGTCGGGTGCAAGAAAAACCTGCGACTCACAGATCATCCCATTTGTACCGTGGCGGAATTTTGCATGCAGGACACCGGGAAGGAGAACGCCAGCACAAGAATCCAGTCATGCCTTGGCACACAAACGCCCGAGCCTTGACACCGCTCAAACTTACGTCGCATCGTAGGTGACCGTTGGGGAAACCACCGAAGAAGATGGCATTCACCACTAAATGGGGAAATGTGCCCATGGACATTTTGGACACGGTCAGCTTGGTGTGTCTCAGCGGTTGGCACATTCCCCTTCTCAGTCAAGTGCTCTTCCAATGCGGTTTCGCCCCCTGGAAAAAAAAAAACTTTGTCCAACAGTGATAGCTTCCCTTGAACACCAACAGGGGGGACATAAATCATATTAATTTCAGCAAATTGAAGTGTTTGTGAATCTCAAACAAAGCTAGCAGAGCAGCTATCACCACAGTTGGCTTCAGGCTTCTCAGAAGAAACGAGTTCTATTAGCGAAATAACCATCTTGCAATTAGTTTTGGAAAGGTGGATGCGCCCGTTGAGTGGCCCTGGAGGGGTGTGAACTTTCAACCCAGCAGGAAACCGAACGGAATTGTGCCTATATTCATGCCAAAGAAATAGGGGCCATGCGTGGTCAAATGGTTGAAAGTACATTGACAAACGCTTCAACATGTCCAGGAAATAAGCACGAAGACCTGATGTGCAGGTACTGGCCACTTAGCCTTGTCCAAAGCCATGGCGGTTGGCTTCCGTGTGGCTTTCCTGGCAGCAAGGCTATTGGCTGTTGTACGGCACTTAGGCCATGGGCCGACCTTCCAAATGCAGCGACCAAAAGCCTAGGCCCTCCAGTAGAGAGGTTAGAACAAGGGTAATTACCAACTTTTTTCGGTAGTCTATTTTAGTATGGGAACCCTCCCCCAAAAAAGAAACCGTAGGGCACAACTGGGGACCTAGCCACGAACAAGCCACAATCCATTGCCCCCATGGGAATGGCCAGTGTCAACGAGGCATCTCTTGCCGAGCGCTTCGAGGAGCAAACTGCCCGAACAAATCGGCCGAGAGGCATGGTCAGCGGCACCACACCGAAGATTTTGGCCTTGGCAACTGGGCAGGATCAACAGCATCCCCGTTCAAACAGGCTGACAGCCATGCAAATAGCATCGTTGCACAACATGTTGCAAAGGGCTATGTCAGGTTGAAATCGGAAAATGAGGGAGAGTGAGCCCCTTGCTAACACGAGCTAGGAGAAGCTCGTAAGCTCTGATGCGATTGAGCAAACATCTGACCCTTGGCTCTTTTGGCGAGCCAAACTGCACGTATCCCGCTTCCCGGGCACGTATCAGGTCTTAAACACTGCCTCATGCGCTTGGCTCAAAGAATGCGAGCACCTGTCGACGTGGACCGGACTGGGTTTGAGCGTAGGCATCTACCAGGTTTGCTTAGCTCGTCTTCCAAATGAAGATTATGGCTCAGGGAATTTGCAAGCAAACTGCCGTCCCAGAATGTCCCATACATATTCCCAGCCAGTCTGTGGGCCAGAAACTATCCAACATGATCTCAGTGTAGCTGTTGCGCACGAGAAGCGCCCCCCAGCTGGGAGACGAAGCCCCTAGACCAAAGCAACTGCTCTCAACCTAAATTGCAGCAGCCTCAAGTAGCCTGGCAAACTGGTCATTTGGCACAGGACTTGCTTCACCCAGGTGGGTGGTGATGCAAAATCCCTTGACATCAGGTTCGCACTTCGGCTCGCTGCGTGAGCCACTAAAGTGCTTGCCATTTCGCCCAGGAAGCCAAGGAAAGCTCTCAGGATGAGCTTCTCCTTCCCAATTCTCAGGACGTCTCAATGACAGGCTCCGCATTTCTCCCTCGTGGGCACTTGCTGATTGGCGAGTAGACATGCCAAAGCCAGGGGTCCCGGTTGACAAGGCGCCAAGGCGCTTCCAAGCGCCGAATCCCCAAAGCACTTGCTGTAAGCTTGCGGGTGTTGAGGCCGCGGCAAGGGCCGGGATGTAGAGAATCACAAAGTGGCTGCCAATCTGGGCACAGGTTCAGGGGTTCAGGAGATGGGTCTGGGCAAACAAGCACGAATAGTGCATGGCCAAGAATGAAAAAAAAACAAAACTTTAAGCTCAACCAACTTGAATTTGATTGAAAGGACGGCCGAGCACTGGGGCCTGGCAAGGTTGCCCCGAGCAATGCGCGTGGCGCTGCTTCTTGAAATGCAGGAACTGAGGCAGAATGCATACACTCTGAGCAAAAACCAATTGTTTGCGGGGTCGTGGACGTGTAGTTCAGGCCACTTGCTAAGTGTCGCGATGCAACATTCAGGAGTTTGACGAAATGCTCATGCTCAAAACATGGGGTTGAAGTGGTGCAGACAGCTGCAAGAAACCATGGGTGCTTCTGTAGAGCAAACCCAAAAAGGGTACCCACAAAGCAAATCATCCAGTACTGTTGGCCCTTGCTTGGGCAAGCTCCTCATGGCACCTCTGGCCCCAAAAACATGTAGCCACTAGATCATGACAGCCGAGTGAAGGTTCTTGGCACAACCTGGTGCAGGGAACACACTCCCTCAAATGGCAACTGCAACCTCGAGTTGTTGTTCTTTCTAAGATGCGGCCCTCCTGTTCGGCGTGTTACCTTCGGGCATGGTGCTAGAAGGTATGGCGGCCATGAAGGTCAAACAAACATTTGACGTGCATGGCCCCACATTGCATTCTATGGCCCGCAATGGCCGCAGTAGGCCGCTTTTGCAACACGCCTTAGCAAACCTGGGGCATCTCTGATCAACACGCCCATGATTTTACTTGCCGCAGCCGAGGTGCCGAAATGCTGGCGGCTACGATGAGGTAGGGGTTAGCCCAGGGCGGCATTTGCACCAGGGATCCGTCCTTGCAGATTGCATGCCTCGAGCCAAGAGACCCACCATGCAACGTGACAGGCGGCGGCTTTGAACAAGAGCATGAAGGAATACACAAAAAAGGTCTTGCAACAAAATAGTCGTTGGTGGACCAAACGGGCGGAAGCAACAAACAAGTTTGGGGGCGTGCCAAATGGCTTTCTCGCCTCTGGTTTTTGATTCCTCCCGTCCTCAGACAGCGCGTTGAAGGCATTCAGCATCTCAATGACGACTAGGACTGTGAGCGACAATGTCGATGCCTCTTTGCGACAGGTGTGCGAGTGGGTCGTGTTACGTTCCGGGTTTTTAGCCAGCCTGCCTAAACCCGACAGTTAGGTGCATTCCACGCGCATGTCCCCCACTTCTCCCCCTCTCTGGTGCTACACGCCCAAGAAACTATCTTGCATTCCATACGACGTCCCAACACTGAGATTCCTGCACATTTTGAGCCGTACCAATCCCTGAAATCAGAAAAAATAGAAATAAGAGTTTGATGCCCAAGTATCAAGAATCGATCTTCTCCATGGCTCATCCCTCGTGTTCCCCCCCCCCCTACTCGGTCCGCTCCATCTTCCAGGCCTTCGCCTTGCCGTCGGTGAAGTATGCGCAAGGCTCCTGGGAAAAGCCTCGGCTGACAACGACTGGGGCCATCGAGTCGTAGGTCTTGAGAGTTGGTACCCCGGGTTGCTGGTGGAGGGAAAAGCCAGCCATAGGGAAACCAAAAGTTGAAATCTGGGTCTTTGAAGTTGGTACCCCTGGCTCGTGACTTTTTTCAAGGGAACCCCAGGAAAAGCCAGCCATTTCAGCGGGTTCTTTTGAAGACGGAGCCATATTCCGGGCCGGTTTCTGACCTAGACAAACAACACCAGAATGGGTTTTGCAATTTTCTCCCCATTGGCAGCCCAAGCACTAAACCATAAAAACCCAAAAGCCCGTTATAAGGAACTCTGGGGAGCCGAGCATGGTGCCAGGGTTTCCGGCTCATTACCTTCCGAGCGCAAGTTATACAGGTGTCCTTTTAGGGCAAAATAGATGGGTTTCCCTGCTGGTAGATGAGAGAAAACCACCAGGTAAACCAGGACTCGAAACCCCTCTAATTTGGTGCCACAAGTTTGCACTGGACCGGGAAAAGGTTCATTCCTTCGACCGAACCAAGGTGCTCATGCCATCCCAGTCCGCCACCGAGAAGTCCTGCCGGGACACGAAAGCTGCGCTTTCTAGACCCAAAACCAGGGGTTTTCTCCTTTTGGGGGGATGAACCACCCCTGAGTTGACTACCCTAGTCCAAAAGTGGAACTCTGGCCCCATGGAAATGGGCAATTTTGGGTCAAACGGGAAAGGTGCAACTCTTGACATAAGGGTTGCCATGGCTCATTGCCATGGCTCAGTTTCACGATGGGATGGGGTTCCCATGGTCCTTCCATGGCGGGCTTTCCGGTTCCCGAGTGGGCCCTCTCTCAGAACACGCAAGAACAGCGCGCGAATTGAAAGCTACTGGGAGCCCCAAAGTAAGTTAAAAGCACACATTGTGCTGAACGATTCTGATGACCATATCGGTGGTTTAGCTTTGATGTTTGGATGGAGCAAATCACCTTGTCAAACGAATCTGGTAACACCCTAGCAAGAAATTGCCAAAGGGTTCGCTGAGACAAGTCAAGGTCGAACTCATTCATTTCAGAAAGGGCTTTCAGTTGCCATGCATCTTACCGCAACTCAAGCCCCAATTGGCGACTCGCATATCCAACTGGCGACTCGCATCCTTCCAGTCGCTGCACTTGCCCCAGGTCAGCAGCTGCGCTGTTGACACCAGGGTGTGACCATCAGCATTGACATCGAAGATATACCAATACCTCCCGTCCGGTGGATGATGGATAGTGGACTGGGGCAACCGCCCTTGCCATCAAAGTGGGCACCAGGGCGAGTGTTGAACCATCGCAAAGGGCCCTGCTTGTAAGTTTTAGAAAGGGGGCCTAGTCTCATCCAAGTGGGTTGCAAGGGGCGGATAGGGTGTCTGACAACAACAAATGAATTCTCAACTGGCATGCAGCGATCTGCTGGAGCCGTCAATGTCAGTGCCCGCCTGTTCACCAAAACCGGAGAAAATACAAAAAACAAAAAAAAACATACAGAGACCGGGTTGCATAAAAATGCCCACCACGGCGAAGCCGACGTATGCGCCCACCTCAGTATCCAAGTACCCACGCATTGGCAATGGGTCACCAAAACGCGAACAAAGCAACCCTTGGTTCACAAACAAGGCTTGTGCAGCTCACCATTCAGGCCCAGTGGACCAAACATCTGAAGGGCTGAGCATGTTGATGTCCAGGGAAGCTCGGCACTTGAACGGCGCACGATTCCGTGGACGAAATCCGCAACTAACAAACCCTGGAATGAGATTCCCCTTTTCATACCCACGAAGAATGGTTTCAACCATGGTTTGAAAGTGCAGGATTTTGTCGATCCACAGTAGTCAAACTGCACATCAATCTGCCAACGGAGTGCTAGCTCCAAATGACGGCACGGCCTCGCATGCTCTTGGCTCAACATGCTGCCATCTGCGCCATAGATTCCGTGTAGCTAAACTATTGCCAGACTTGCTGTGCTCAAGGACCGGTGCCAGTCTCACATAGTTGCGCCATGTTCTTGTGAGGTGTATGGTATGATGTCTGTGGCATCAATCTAATTGGCTGCCTGTCGCTAAACTGTTCCTGGTCTTACTCATCAAGTCACCGTACTTGGTGTACCTGGTGCGGGTCCTTTGTTTCCGACCGCGGAAACACAAGAAAACCCTAAGGGGTTCCCAACTCAAGGCGTCGGCCATTGCCAAAGCAAACCGAAGATCACTGACACGAATGCTCCAAGCTGATTAGTCATGTGGACTGGAATAGATCGAGTCCATTGTTTCGGGGTGGGGGGGAGTGTTGGAAACCCTCCCCACACCCCATCTCCAAGCCCAACCCAACAGTTGCAACATGTCGGGCCGGGCGGCCACAAAATAGCGCACGTAGGACCACACCGAAATCAAGGCGTCGTCTTTCCGTCGGGGCGCCTTCTGCATAACCTGGGCACAGGGCAATGTCAGGTGCTAGGATATCAACCTTCAACTAGGGACATGACAAACACACACCAACTGTGAATCCTGCTGTGTCTTTGGCCACGAAAAAGTAACATTGTGACAACATTACAATGCAGAAAAGTCCCTTTCATCTTTGTGTCTCGTCGAAAAGCGTGTGTGAGTGTGACAAAGAGAGAGACCAGAAAGAGTGACTCTGAGTGTGTGTGTGTGTGTGTGTGAGTGTGCGTGTGTGTGTGTGTGTGTGCGTGTATGTGCGTGGGCGCGCGCGCGTGCGCATGTGTGTGTGTGTGTGTGTGTGTGTGTGTGTGTGTGTGTGTGTGTGTGTGTGTGTGTGTGTGTGTGTGTGTGTGTGTGTGTGTGTGTGTGTGTGTGTGTGTGTGTGTGTGTGTGTGTGTGTGTGTGTGTGTGTGTGTGTGTGTGTGTGTGTGTGTGTGTGTGTGTGTGTGTGTGTGTGTGTGTGTGTGTGTGTGTGTGTGTGTGTGTGTGTGTGTGTGTGTGTGTGTGTGTGTCTGTGTGTCTGTGTGTCTGTGTGTCTGTGTGTGTGTGTGTTTGTGCTCGTGTGTGTGTGTGTGTGTGTGTCTGTGTGTCCGTGTGTCTGTATGTGCGTGCGTGCGTGCGTGCGTGCGTGCGTGCGTGCGTGCGTGCGTGTGCACTGCATGCATGCCTGCCTGCCTGCCTGCCTGCCTGCCTGCCTGCCTGCCTGCCTGCCTGCCTGCCTGCCTGCCTGCCTGCCTGCCTGCCTGCCTGCCTGCCTGCCTGCCTGCCTGCCTGCCTGCCTGCCTGCCTGCCTGCCTGCCTGCCTGCCTGCCTGCCTGCCTGCCTGCCTGCGTGCGTGTGGTGGGTGGGTGGGTGGGTGGGTGGGTGGGTGGGTGGGTGGGTGGGTGTGTGTGTGTGTGTGTTTTTGGTGTGGCACTTCCATGCGTTCATGTAAGAGAGAGAGAGAGAGAGAGAGAGTTGGACACTTGTGGGCGTGGTTGTGTCTTGCGTGTGGCTGTGTATGTCTGGACCATGTGTTGCCGTGTTTGTCTTTTGGCTTTCTGTTTGAGGGCTCTACTGCTTGTACATGCAGTGCTTTCTCTTTCTCATATGATCGACTAACCCAGGCCCCACTGGTGCTGGTGCGGTCAATTGTCCATGGTCCAAAGCCGCGCAGGTTGTGGAGAAAAAGGGTAGGCAACATGCATGAACCTGCAAACCACGCTGTCCCAACCACAAACAAACACAAACAAACAACCACGCACACACACACACACAAACACAGCACAAGCCCACAAGCGCAAACACAAACAATCAGGAACAACACGCAACACACACACACACAAACGAATCCGCGCTCGCACGCATCAACTAACAAAACAGATCACACACACACATACGCACAGAATCAATATAATCTCACAGAACAACACAAGCACGAACAAACAACACCCACACACACACACAAACACCAAACACACTTAATAATCAAACACTACTTGAGCACTTCCGCTTTGATCAATTATATATATATATATATTGCCTAGGGCTTCAATGTAAAGGAAGCTGGTATCTCGCCGATTCTGACGACTGGTAATTACCCACCGATGGTCTGCCGAGCGGCGTCCAAATCAGGGGGGTTGAAGCCGAGGGCAGTGGCTGGTGGGCCATCGGTCACGAGGTTTACCTGAGTCGGCCACCGCCAGGCAACAGCAGAAAGTCGGCTGGCCCGGCACCTGTGTGCGTGTGTCATGATTTCGTTTGATTGACTGTTAGCACACTAGCACGACACCAAACTCAGATCAGCTGCGCTAATCTCCAGTTGCTGATGATAGCCCTCATCTTGCCACATAGCGATTTCTTGCATGTTGTTGTCACGCAATCAGTTCGAGCCAGGGTGCCCGAGTCAGGATTCTCCGAACGGTGTCCCAACGGTTAGGCAACCGCTGTTCGTCATGAGTCATTGTGAGAGAAACCTGCAATGACTAGGCATGTCATCGCATGGAGCCTCGTTTACGACCGCTTTTTCCCAGGCCAAAGATTTTCCTCCCCACCTGCGTGCCACCTCCCCACCTCCCGCGCGCGACCTGCGCGTGCACCGAGCCGCCCAGAGCAGCTGCACGGGAGTCAGGCCCTCCGGGACTCCCAGAGCGGCGGTCAGGAAAATCGCGGCCACCTCAAGCAGCGCAGCGCGGCGCGCGGCGCTCGGGGTGCGCGTGGATTCGGTGGAGATTCGGGTGCTCTTAGGACTCCGGGAGTCCCATGAGGCGAGAGAAACCAAATGCGGAAAATTGAAAATACTGTGGATGGACGAAATCCATTTTGCACCACCTAAGACACCCTGGAAGGATGATTCCCATGTAAATACCAAAGACAAATGGTTTCCCATGGTTTCAGAGTGATGCAGGATTTCGTCCATCCACAGTAGGACTGGGAAGTGCTCAAGTGCCACCCTCAGCGAATGGAGTGTTCCAATGAGAGAAAGGACTTTAAAGGCCGGCAAGCCGACATGTGAAAAAGAACGCGAGCTCCAAAATCAGAGCGCCGGGTGGGGGTGAACCTGTTGGGCACGCTGCTTCCGAGTTCTCACAGTTGGACACGGATGAATACACGTCAAGTAAAATGAACGACGTCGCTTCAGAAATGCTGATGGGCATGTAGAGAACAACACTCGTCAAACTATCTGCCACACCCGTTTGCCTCGCCCACGTTCGAGGAGATCATGTAGCGGATGAAGGCCTGGCCGATCCAACATCATTGGGGCTGGGGAGGTGAGGGGGGCGGGGTGGAGGAGCGAGAAATAAGCCCATGGTTCGCCCTTAAAAAGCCTGATTTGGGGCTTATTTGGGCTCCCAGCCGCCATGACAGATTCTGCCATGGCGAAGCACCAGACTGTCGGGTCATGTCGGGTCATTCATAGCAATAAGTTGGCACTGATTCAGATGGGTGAGCTGAAAGTAATGCCGCGTGCTTCTAAGCTTCCGGGGCGGTGGCCAGTAGCAGAGCTGAAACAGTTCGAGCGAGAATGCATCACAGTGTTCAAACCTGCAGCCTGGCTGACCACCTTGGGTTTACACGAGAAACCCATGATTTGCCGGTGAAATGAAAAAAACAACTACCAAGTCGAGAAACATGCGCGGGCGTTCTATCCCTTATTCCTCTCCTCACGGTAATGAATCCAAGTCACTCAAAACAACTTAAGCCAATTGCTGCTCGGGCTTTGTTTTGCGAGCTCCAAAAACACACAACGTTGCCCATGGACTTGCTTTTTGTTGAGATGACACCAAGAGGAAATCAGAGTCGGGCTTACTTGCCGCCTAGGGGTGGGTCTTCAACGGGAAACCAAAGGGAACTTGTCCAAACCGCCCAGTTTTTGACCTGAGCTCAGGGCCTTCATGTTGTTGTAGATCGACCGGCCCTCCTCCACCGCAGCGACGATGCTGGTAAAGTTGTCGTCTGCCTTGGACCGACCCAGTGGCCCCCCGACCCGAGGCAAGCGCCAGGAACAAACATTGCTGCCGAACGGCGGCCCTCTACAAGGTCCCGTAGAGAGGTTAGAACAAGGGCACCAACTTTTTTCTGGAGTCTATCTTAGTAGGGGAACCCTCCCCCCAAAAAAGGTACAAGGGCTCTAGTGGGGGGACCTAGTCTATCATATATGCAAACAAGGCCATGCCTTCTGTAAAGACAGCCAACCCGCCTGCTGAAGCTTCATGATGCTTTCCCTTGAGCCAGATTGTAGAAGTCAGTCTTGGCTTTTCAACCCACAAAAGGTGGCACGCATCATGCAGCTCAACATCTGCCCTCTGGAAATCCTTTCTCGTATCTAGCTTGGAAACAAGTGGGTTTGGCTCGAAGGCGCGCTGCCCATCGGCGTTCCATCACTTTCATCAATGCTGGACCAAGCTTGGAGCAATCAAGGCCAACCGCAGCACCAAGCGGCCAGCACCATATCCGAAGCTTCCTTGGCCACCTCTGTTCCAGCAATGCCCATGGCAATGCCGATGTCTGCCTGACACCCGAGTCAGGCACAGCCCGTGCCCATTTGAAGGGGCCCCTACGGCTCGAGTTGGGGCGACAAAGGAAAATCGCTAGCTTTACAGGAAGAAGTGTGTGCACCTTTTTGTGTTACAACTCACACTGTTCCGCGAAAAAATGCATAGTAATCACGTTTTTTTTGTGTTTTTGTTTTTACCTTTTGTTTTGTTTCTCCGCGGCGTTGGTTTCTACTGCGGAGACTGTTCGATGCTCAGTGCAAGAGCGCATATTGCCTTTGTAGTCATTTGTGAGAGCGCGCTAGAGTTTCTCTATTGTTTGAATTTCAGATCCTGTGATGGGGCTGTCCTCGAATCCTCCATTCTGATTTTCTAATCAATGAAGATGGTATGTATTCAGACGCACTTTTCAGACGCACCATCTTGTTTACATCCTGAGTGTGTCCCGCACGTGCAAACAATGCTCAGTCTTTTTGCTTCAGAAGCCCAAAGCAACGAAACCCGAAACTCGCTTGTTTATTTGAATTCTTCATTTAAAGATTTGGCTGTGGCTCAAAAAACCGGCACCAAAATGGAACCCTGATAAGTGGAAGCATGGACCAAAACCTGCGTAACCCCTCCTGTTTGAGCCACACCCATTTCAACATTTCGGGAGCTTTGGGCCTTCGAAAAGGAAAGGCGCCGGCAAACCCTGGCTCCGCAGCTTTTGTTTTGTGCTGCCATGCCTGAAACATGCACCGCCAACCAGCATACACAATTACTCGGCCCGGTGCAAACAGAAAGGAGTCTGAATCATTTAAACCCCGTGCTTATTAAATAATAATATGTTTGTGTATATATATATATATGTGTGTGTTCCTATTATTGTAAACAAAGATATGTGAGCTTTTTGACCTGCGCCGATGGGCCCTTCATTGAAAATGCGACGCACTTATCTCAGTGTCTTCTAGCTTTTTTGGGGGGGCACCCCCCAAACTATGGTGGGCGTCCTTTGCAGTTTCCCAAGCGCGGCCAGCCCTCCAAAGAAACAGACAGACCCATCTCTTCGCTCGTTTTTTTTGGTTGGCTGATGGCCTTTGGGACGGATTTTCTCTCGTTTCCTGGGGCGGCGAGGTGAGCAAACGGCCACGGCCGCCGCCTGCTTCAGGGCGGGCGCATCGTTGACGCCATCGCCGGTCATGGCCGCGATCTCATCCAAAGACTTCAGGATCTTCACCTCGCGCGACTTTCTTCCAGTCGCGTGTTGAAACGCCTCCTTTTGCCTTTGCGACGCGCTCAGTTCAACTAAGCGCGCGGCGTTTTCTTGTTAGGAGGGGTCAGGCCCCAAAAGCAGCAACAGCTAGTGTGTGTCTGTTTAAGCCTCCTGGGAAAAGAACAAATATTTCCAGCAGTGCAATCGTTTCCCTTTAAAACCAAAAGGGGGAACAAGTGTTAAGCAAATGGAATCACGCCAACAGGGAGGGGAAAAAACCATGTCAGCAA